TTTTATTGTTTGATGATGATGATGATGAATCCAGTAAGAGTAGAAATTGGTTCAAATGAATAGATTGGTTGAAATGTTACAAATTGGTTGAGATCTTAGGGTTTGCAAAAGTTGAAAAAGGGTAGATGAAAGAGAAGAAGGAAAAAAAGATTTTTTTTTTTTTTGGTGAGATGAGTTGAAATGGCCATGCCATTTATTTTTGCCAACTTGGCAATTTTTTGTGTGACATGTGATGTTTCTTCTGTATTTGATCGTCAATTAACATGAAAAATTAACAGAATGACCAAATCGGGATAAAAATGGTAAATAGTATGGACCAAATCAAAGATTTTTTAAGTTTAGAGATGAAATCGAGGGTTCGTACAATAGTTCAAGGACCAAATGGGATTTTAACCTTATAGTTTTGTTAGGTTATTAATATTATTTTATTATTAAATATAATAAATAATTAATAAAATAATTTATATTTATTATTAAATAAATTAAAATTAATTTATAAATAAATATTTTTAAGTATTATAATTAATTGATAAAAAATTATAAACTAATAAAAACTATAATTGGAGCTAATGGTTTTAACAAAATCATTAACCGACTATAACCTCAACCATTTTTTACATGCACTTCTCTCCTCTAATTAATTTCTCTTAACAATCACAATTCACAAATACGTATTTGAGTTTGGCAGTTTTTTTTGGTAAAACTTATACCTATAATTCTTTGGTAAAAATCTACTTTTAGCCTATTACTTTATTAAGTTTGAAAGTTTTAGCCGTCACCTTATAATATAACACTTTTAATCCCTCATCTTATTAGGTTTGTAGGTTTTAACCCCCTCACCTATTAAAATCAAAGAAAATAACCCTCACTTTATACCGATTGTTAATTCTGTTAGCTAAAAGTAAGTTTTTGTCAACTATCAGTCAACTAATAATCAGTTAACAGAATAAACGAAACATTATAAAGTTAGTTCTGTTAACTCTAATAGCTAAAAAAAAGTTTTTGTCAACTAACAATAAACTAACAATCAGTTAATAAAGTTAACAGTTAGTTAACAAAACTAACAAAACATTACATAGTGAAAGTTATTTTTTTCAATTTTAATAAGTAAGGGGCTAAAAGTGTCATAATATGAGGTAAGAGGCCAAAACCTTCAAACTTGATAAGGTGGGGGCTAAAAGTAAGTTTTTGCCTAATTCTTCTCGTTGTTGTTAGCAAAATCCGTCTCCAGAATACGTTCGGTCTCCATAAACCCACTCGAATTAGATATCCCATAACTAAATGTGTTAGCAAAATTGAAGAATACAAAAGCAATTAAGGGGTTAAGAGAGATTGTTTTAAGGTTATATATTAATTTTGGTCTCTTAACTTTAAAATTTTGCATAATTTTTGTCCTTCAAATTTTTTTTTTTTATCTTTTAACTATGAAAATACACTTGTTTAGGTTTTTTATTAATTAATCCATTAAATTTATCTGAATTTACACATTTTTAATCTCTCAACTTTTAATATATACACAATTTATTTCTTAAAATTAAGGGACAAAAAATATGAGAGTTAGATGGACTTAATGAATTAATTAACGGAAAGATTAAAAAAGTACATTTTTTATAGTTAAGGAATTAAAAAAGTGTAAAAAAAAAGTTAAGAGATGAAAATTATGTAAAACCTTAAGTTGAAAGACCAAAATTGATATTTAACCTTATTTTAATGAGTAAAATTCAAGAAATGCGAATGGAAAGGCATGAATTGATATTTGTATAGGTGTTGTCCTTTGACAGATCTTTCAATGATTTGTACGTAGGTCCACAAGAAGAAATAAAAAGTCCCTTGATTTGATAAAACTTTTTTTTTCCTTGGATGAACAGCTGATTTAAGTAAGTTGAGACAGTGAAAACCTAGTTTTTTAATTTATGTAATTTGATTAATAAGTTGGCAACAAACTTTGAAAGTTGAGAGAATAATTTGATTTCATTTAGAATTCAAGTTTATGAACTATGGTAAATTTTACCAATTTTTTTCCTTTCTGTCTAAAATAAATTAACAAAGGCTAACCGAAAATGCAAGCCACATCAATGAAACTAACCGCGACTAATGGGGGTTTTATAATTCACATTAATTGAGCAATTAAAGGGTTTATGTGCACTTTTTTTTTATTTTTTTGAGAGTTTATCGTCTAAATTGGGAAAAGCTAGGAGTGTTTAACGTAGTGTTTTGGACCTTAACAAAATTTTGTTTGGCGATAACTGCAC